ACTTCTTTAGAAATAGAAATAATATCTCAAACATCTCGAAACATGTATAGCATACTGTAAGTGGGAAGTCGTTTCTCCCAGTTGTATTTGTACCAACAGTTAAATAGGATAAAAATGCAACTTGTAGTTTGCCATACTGTTTGATGCTGAGGTGTCAAACTGGTTCCAGAAAGGGCTGGTGTGGCTGCAGGTGTTTATTCCAACCAAGCAGGAGCACACCAGAAAACACCCATTTGCTCAAGTCTTCAGGTTAAGACTGGACTGGGCCTTAACCGACCCTTTGAGAACCGGGTTTACACTTATTTTGTTATACCACTGTAAGTAGCTAAAGCTCTCCCATTTTTGAAAAGGAACTGAATGGATCTATCAATGATTGAGCTTAGACTAGATCGCAAATAGTGAATTATGTGTCTGGAATATTGTATGGTTAAAACACCAGCATGACGAACATCTCCTCTGACCATTTCTCATTGAGTGCCGAGCCTCGCTGTATCCCTGTGCACCTGGGTTTATCCTCTCTTCCAGTGAATAGCTACATTCCGTTATACCAGAGCTCCTGGAATCCTTTGACACCTCCATCAGTCATACGCTTTGCCTTATCTCTCCTGCTCCACTCAAGATTTTCCTGCTCAATGCTTTGTTATTTCAAATGCACGACCGTGAGACATTAAAAGGAGGGAGAAAAAGTGGCACTTAGCATTCTGTTGAGTCAGCATTGCCACAGGCGACCATTAAATGTAATCACAACTGCATAGCGACGCATAATTGAAAGACATAGGCGGCGATGGTGGCATTCGTCGCAGGCTGCAGCCACGGCTCAAGACGGCGGCTCATACGTCACGCTAAATATAATCAGTCATTGGAAAACGAGGATGATTTTTAAAGAGTTGCTGTGGAGAATTGGCGTTAATCAGGAGTGGTTGTTTGTCTTCCTCCGTGGCTGTTTTCTGACCTCAAAGCTAACACGATATAAACAAGATATTGCGTTTATGTGGTGTTGTGGATGTAATCTTGATGAATCTTCTCACAGAGTTAAGAACCTTGCAACTAAAAACTTGTACCTTGAGGCTATTACATCAAAGCACGTCCTCCGCCTCTCTCTGTTCTATGCATCCAATGAATTACCAGCATAAAATATTGATTAGGGGAATGGATTGTGTAATGAAAGAGCTTCTTCTTCAATCTTTACTACATCTCGTACTGTATTTACCAAACCAATCTGCTATAAGGTGAACGGATCGCCTAATACGCCACTGTAGAGAATGCATCGTTTATTATGAATGTAGGGGAATTGTGTTTCCCAAATTTGCATAAGTTACCCTAATTTCAACGTTTTGTGGGTGAATGAGAAAATATACAATTAGTTGGAATGTTCTTTGAAGTAGATATTTCCCCAAGTGAAAAAAAAAACAGTTTACCCTTTAATGGTTTCCTCAATCATTTGATCGATCACTTTTTGAGTCACACAGTCCAACTTTTTGAGTCACACAGTCCAACGAGTGTGAAGGCGTCCGTCAAACTCTGAGCTATAGCATTTCTAGAAAGTCCAACTATAGCACAAAACTTACTTCCTTATTATAATATGTTTTTGCATTTGTAATATACCATAGAGCAGCCATTCCCAAACTCAGTAACACCGAGGCCCCCTTAAAAATCTGACGGGTCTGCGTGGCCCCCCCAAAATAATAACCAAGAAGACAACATTAAGAATAGGTTCTTCTGGTTATTTTATTTTGGGGAAATAGCCTCTGCTACAAACATTGTAATACAAAAATGATTACAGTGGATTATTCAAGTCAAATAATGAACACAAATATTTTAATATTACAAACAAAACATTATAAATTTAACATTAAATAATTATATATATATATATATATATATATATATATATATATATATATATATTTTTTTTATGACCTCCCGCGGCCCCCCTGCAGTACCCTCGCGGCCCATCAGGGGGCCGCGGACCCCACTTTGGGAAACACTGCCATAGAGAATGGACCATTTCTTAAATGATACTTATGACACAGTATCATGCAATGAATTATGATATTGAACAACTGAATCCACTTTGAAAAGTCAGGTTAGGTAAGCAGTGTTTGGTGTAACACTTTTTACCTGAAATTAGATTACTGCTACTAAAACAACGTTCACTTGTTTCTCAACTATATTGTTTGTGTAGAACTCCCAGTCCATCAAGCATAAATTTAGAGAATTCTCAATGTGCCTGAAGTGACAAACCCACGGACAGGATTCTGCTTCAAACCTCAGGAGCAGAGATGCATCTATTATTGAAATAAATACATAACTCATATTTCTGTTTCTCATGAAATATACATGATTCATTTAGATTCGTAGTCCAACAAAAGTAATCCAAGTTACTTTCATAGTGCAGTAACTATAGTCTAATTTATCGCAATTTTCCATTGTGGTGAGAAGTAACTTACACGACATTGGCGCTAAGAAGCAAGTCCAATTTCCCCCGTCAAAGAAGTACAGCAGCGTAGGGGTTTTTATTTAAGGCCAGGTGATTTAGATGTAAAGATGGTCTATTGAAAACCCATTTAACTGAAACAGCTGACAGAATACGAGTTATTTCAGTCCGACTCTCGCCCTATAATATTCTCCCTGATGCGACACTAACATTAACCTCTCAGTGTTAACTCTTCTTTGGGGGATTGTTGGGCTATTTTAGTTCTGGCTTGCATTTTTTTTTTGTAACCGAGATTTTTTTGCTGCCATCTGGAGAAATATTTATGTTTACATCAATCACGCACAAATCGGCTCACTTCTTTAGCTGTGCTGGGTGAAAACATAATCTTCTTCCTGTACCTGGCGTCAGTGTGGCAGGCTTTCCTGACTGCCAGCTCACTCAGAACAAAATGTCACCCGGCGCCATAAATAAGACATGAGCAGTGACTGAGATGGACCAGCCAGACTCTCTCTCTCTGTCACCTCAAAGGACCATCTTCAGCCTTATCTCCAACAACAAATTACCGCAAAGGGAAACCAAAATGTGAGGGACTTCTGCCGATCATTGTTCCCTCTTGCCTCCTTTTGCGTCGCACACAAAACGCTCCAACGTCTTCATCATTTTCATTGTGGAATTCCCGAAGGACAGTGGCCGAGATTGACTGTTTTATTGCCTGAATGCTTTCCCTCTTGTTCAGATGTCCTTTTCACACGCTGCTCGCACATTGTTAAAGCTAAATGGAATCTTGGCAGCTTTCAAACAGCACAATTTGGATGCTAAACAACGCTTTTGTGCGACTGAATGACTATTTTCCCCGTTTGTCTATATTGTATACATACACGGTGGTTTCATTAAGCCACGCAGTCACGACAATGTCTCCGTTGCTCTTGTATCAGCCGCAATGGGGAAATCACCATGATATACCGTTTTTTATCAATAAACCCTGCTTGAGAGTTTCATTACATTTTCTAAGAGTAGCAGGGGGCGATGGTGGCGGTTGGAAGCATCCGGAAAGAGCAAGGAGAAGCCGAGCTGACAGCACTAAGCAAAATGGGATTTCAGGCCTTGCTCTGTAATGAAGTAAGGTTGTTTTTTCAAGCAAGGAGCCAGAGTCGCTCAGTAACTGCGGAAAGATGCCACTGTAATTCCTATTGTGAGTGTATGGCCATCGTGCCATCCATCCCCGGAAGAAGCGTTTAGGCTGCTCCTAAAAGGTATTCAGTGTCTTGTGTTCGACAACTAAGAGTAATGTTTCTTTTCTCATAAATGTTTGCTCTTGTTTGTTTCTTTCCCTTGTGTTTTTTTGGAGAATGTGTAAATTCTTGTCCTGCTGATACACAGTTGTTGGCAAAAGCTGTGTCTGGTTTTTGGCCACCAAGCGCACAAGTGTTTTTTGGGCCAGTGATTATTTTATTTGGAAAGTAGTAAGTGTGTATGCATATGTAAAAAGGCAAATAAACTCTCAATTGTTCATCTAACTCACTTCATATCTCCTTCTTTCTGCTGTTGTCCTATAGAAATCCCTTCAATGTTGTGAAATAATAGACATTTTGATTGACTAAGGTAATTTGCCCAAGTGGTAAGTGGACTCCTAGGTGGACACAAGGGTATAACAGAGGGTACATATTATTAACTTGCAGAAATTGATTGCAAGAGGACATGTTATGTATCATTTTAAAACTCATTCCCCCAAGAAAACAACCATGTTATTTATTGAATTTTAATCATTGAACCAGAATGCAATCAATAATAACTCTCAACAATAACACGCCTTTCTTACTTTTGCTTCCATACATTGAAGCACTCATTTGTTCAAAATACCTTCATAATGTAAAAAATTTATAAAATAGACACATTAAAATCCAAACGATGAGCTAATAATGTATATGCACTGTCCTGTTCAAATAAACAAATAAATCCAAAACACACACTGATCCTCACCACACCCAAAATTTTATTTATTAGATTTTTTTTAATTTGTATGAATATAATGTGTGCATTACTTAGCATTGTTTCTGTATAATGCACTTTGATCACTCATTATATTAATTGCTACTAGATTGAACTGAAAACTTGCATCGTGCATGTATGCATTCACAATAGCAGTGCTGTGTTTAGCGATAGATACTTTTACAAAATGGCTATCATGCTCCACCAGGCTGTAGCTATTATGGTAAATTTGAGAATAATGCATTATTATAATCTGTAGCCATGTCAAAAGGCAGACGGATATGTCAGCTTAGACTTTTCAAAACTTAAAGTGCAGTACAAATATTCAAGGCGAAATTCCTCTCACATAAATATTAAGTTTTCGTGGTTGAAATCGTCGCAGCGTGTTTTCCCTTTCCCCTCGTGTCCTAAACAATACGTGCTGTAGATAAACCGCTCTATTTTCTATTGGCGCCTCCTGTAACGCTCCGGCAGGAACGAGGATCCTCTTTTCTCCTCTTTAACCTTATCTCATTTCCACATGTGAGTCTTTCGTCTTCTTCAGTTAAGTATTTTGTGTTGTGTTGTGCTTTAGGTGACCTGGTGTCGCGGGCCATGCACCACCTCCAGCCCCTGTACTCCAAGAACCACAACAACGGCACTCCCATCCACCAGAAGAGCAGCCTGATGCACTGGGCGCCCGAGGCCATCTACACGCTCTGCTACTTCATGCACTGTCCTGAGATGGAGTGGGAGAACCCCAACGTGGAGCCCTCCAAGGTCACGCTACAGACGGAGCGGTGAGGCACAAACCTATTACACCCAGATTCTGTGGTTAAACTAGAGAAGAAAGGAGCGTGAGCTGGGTTCAGATCACGGAGGTTAAACCAGCAGCAGCGAATCAAGAATCGGACTCAAGCATGGCCTGTATATAGATGGGCATTTTTAATTCCCTAGCTTAAGGACAACCAATAGGGAAGTGCTCGTGGACAAAGTTTGGCTCCTACTCGCTTCTATTGACAAACACTGAAAAGTAAACTCCTCGAGCTCCGTTATTGTTTGTGTCACACTCATTATTTAGGGCTTTAAAAATCCCTGGTTTAGCGCTCTCTTTGATTCTGATGTTTATATGGTGATATTGTCTGTGTAAATGCAGATATGAGCTCTAACAACTGCTGCAGAATTTGGCTTTAGCTAGCAAGCAGCACGAGAGCTTACAAACCAATGCCGCTCTTGATTCGCTGGTAACTCGGCCTTGCCACAAACAAAATGTGCAGACTTTTGTTTCCACATTCCCGCTCAAAAAGGCAAAAACTTCAATCAGTCAACTCCTAAAATACATGGAGTCTATGGAGTCAAGTAACTCAATGGTGCCATATGTTATTGTACAATACTATACTGTCTATAAAGAGTGGACAAACCAAATGCTGACATCACAAATTTATGACTAAGGGGCTGACATTGTTGCTAAGGAAAGGTAATTGTTATGGCTCATATCTGGATTTGCAAAAACATTAACGAATATAAACACCAGGATCATAGAGAGCATGTTATGTCCAAAATGGTGAGTGTGGCACAAACCGTTACTAAGCTAGAGCCGTTTACTTTTCAAGGAAAGTCAATAGGAGCCACTTGGAGCAAAACTTCCCTGTTGGGCTACATTGAGCTAGGGGGCTTTTTATATACACTCTATGGTACAATGCATTAACAAAAACATCATATATTCCCATGGGCATGAATAGCTAAATCACTTTGGCTCCATTTTCTCCCATTTGACATTATCGCTGCTCTTCCTCCGTCACTGCTCCTTTTGACTTTCATGCTGTTCATCTTGAAATGTTGAACGCAGTGTTATTGGTCTTTGTAAATCGATACGAACCAATCCTGTGCCTTTTTATCTCCAAAGTGGCGTTCAGCTTGTGAGAAAAGACCAACCTAATCACTGATTGGCTATTTGCTTGCCGTATGAGATGCACTCGGAATTCCAAATACGACACATTGGCACGGTTTCCAAATTAGCCTGTTGTACTGCTAGCATGGATTAGGTTTGTTTTTGTGCTGGAGCTGAACAATAAGGCATCTTCATGATCTGGTAGTCGACTTCTTTGCATGGTCCAGTGATTCCCAAACTGTTTCTGCTGGCCCCCTTTGGTACATAAGAAGGACATATGTACCAAAAATGTGTCAAAACGTGTCCATCTTTATACGTGCAGTCAGTGTCATTTAGCCGACTGCATTTTTGTTCATTCATTTGCGCCCCCTGCATTTGCTCTGCGCCCATCCAAAAAATCATTAGATTTAAAACAACAAACAAACAACATTATATTGGAGATGCGTATATTGCCAGCATACAATGGGGTTTGATTTGTGGCTGCACTCACTGTGGCACAATGCATTGTTATTTCAATCTGAAGAGACCAAGACAGAAAGATTTATTTGTTTATTTAATTTGTTCGTCATCTGCTGTAGTTGATCTCAGACCCCCCGGGGTCAAGCACTGGTGGTGGCTAGAAGCATGTTGTGAATGGGGTGCAGGCAGAGCGGGGGCCAGAGCGGGGGCCAGAGCGGGGGCCGGGACCAGGAGCCGGGACCAGGAGCCGGGACCAGGAGCCGGGACCAGGAGCCGGGACCAGGAGCCGGGACCGGGAGCTGAGGAGGCGCTGGGGAGGTGATGGGTGTGAAGAGCTTCAGGAAGCGGTGTTTATCAGGGGGCTGGCCGGGCTGTGTGATTGGCAGAGGCTCGAGGCTGGCAGCGGCTCGTGATTGGCAGAGGCTCGAGAGGCTGATTAGCTGATTGGCTGGCCCTGGCAGTGAGGGCCGTGGTTGGTCTTTCAGGTTTGAAGTTGCGCTTGCAGCTTCATAACCCAAAATAAGACTTCATATCAAAACCAAAAGTCAAAGCCGAAATTACAAGAAGCCAGAAGAGCCACAGGTCTCTTCTACTCAAGGTTATGTATTGTATATGTATGTATTTATTTATGTATTCGGATCCCCAGGTGCCTTCCATGGGGTCCATTTTGTATAGGATTAATTCACAGTACAAATGTCCATACATACAGTAATAACAGAAAAAAGACTATAAAACATACTATTATAATACTTTTTGAACAAGTATTTCAAGTGTAGTTTAGTATGAGTTTGAACAAAGTGTTTAGTTCACTTTATATTTACTCAAACATTGTTGGGTTTTCAACGTGAATACATTATTTAGCTGGGCTCTGTGTTTATTATGGGCACAGGTTTTCTTCACCCACCTCCACTCCAGCTGCTGCTTTTGTTGCTTAATATCTTACTGCAGCTTAACTTCTCTTTGTTGCCTTCAGAAAGTCAAATTGTCTTATTCATTGAACGCATTTGTTGAAATTCCTCCTGCTATATCTTCTTTAAGCCTCTTTATTATTCTTACAGTCCCAGTCAACTAAATATATGTGCACAGGGAAAGCCTTTGAAATGAAGTGGACTTTTTAATAGGTTGCACAGCGATCGAAAGCAAAGATGTGGACTCTTTTTATCGACTTGAACATTAGACCTTTGCACTTCTTTTGTAATATCCATCCCACGTCGTCAGCAATGAAAAATAACTATCTATATGCTCAATCACGACATTCGCATCATGCTGCTCATTATAAATGTGTACGTTCTTCTTCTTTAGTTAGTCCCTCGGGTTTGAGGCAGCGGTGCACCTTGACACTCTTTTCTTTTCATTATTCCTTGGCTTTATGCCCTGTAATATCACACCAGATGTTTTTTCTTCAGAGTAGAGACTGTGGTTATAAGTAATGTCCAGGTTGTTGGCGCTAAGACAAGGCCCTCTGGATAACCCGAGCAGAGATGGCTGCAGCTGGAATAAAAGAACTCACAGCTCATTGCCGAGTGCGAGTGACGATAAAATTCCACGGAGACACTTTTCATTCGACAGTTAAAGAAGCATAAGGCATACTTTTATAGTTCTCGTAGGGAAATTTGTCCTCTGCATTCCACCCATCCTTCAATGCCACCCGGGAATCTGTCAGGAGCAGTGGTCGCCGGAGCAGACACAGGGAGAACATGCAAACTTCCCTCAGACAGGCCCTGTCTCGAGGTGGAAAACCTGGACTTTTCTTGCTGAGAAGAGTGAGTGTTTGACTTGTAGTGGAATGATAGGCAGGGATGTCACAAGGACAAGATACAGGTCATATCTGAAGAGAGGTAACCTTCAGTTCAATTTACTTTTGGACAGCCCTAAATCACAGCAACAGTCATTGTCAAGTCACCAACAAGAAATGCAATAATGACAAACACATAGGCTTAGCGTTTTTGTTGGGAGCCAATCGGTCCCTGTGGACAAAATCTCTCCCGACAAAGACTCCACATCCTCTGTAAGCTCTGTGCTCTCTCTGTCTCTCTAAATATTCTACTATACACGTCAATCACTCAACCCATTCTCCTATACTGCTCTCCCTGTTACTTCAACATGCTCTCCATCACCAACAGAAATAGACTCACTAAAGTCACACTGCATCCAAAATCATCAATCTCCCACCGCAGACCTCTCCAACCTCAACCACACAGCAGTAGGACCATGGCCTGGACAGAAAGCAGAGACTCAGACCATCCTCTCCACACCGGCCTCACTCTGCTGCCTTCAGGACACAGCACAGAACTGTCTCTGTGTCCTGGAGGCAGCAGAGTGAGGTGGGTACAAGTTTTGTCCCTTAAGCCATAGCTGCACTTAACAACGTGTAAAGTTGACCATGTTCTTGTATTGCATGTGTGTCATGTGAATTTGTTTTAATTTCCTCCCTCTCCCTTCTATGTATGTGACAGTAAAGGTCTATGTATCTCTCTACGACCAATGTCCATACATGTCCTTAACTCATTGACTGCCATTGACGTATTTGTCTGGGACCCTCTATTCGACTGGGGATTACAGGAGAACAAAAATAGCTGGAAACAAACTTATTTTTGCGGAAGAAAGTAGACAATCCAGTCTTTCAGAATCTGGTTTTTATATTTAACATAGTCTTAGGAAATAATATTCTGTGGGTCTTGAGAATCAGTGAGATCATCAAAAATGGCTCGCTCATCACTGTCCTTAGACCCCACTACATATGCAAGGAACGACCCGAAAATGAAAAAACCCAGTGAGAAACCTTGGGGAGGCCCATATTTAGAGGAGAATCCGCTCATGGACAGACCGGCTTTTGATCCAGGACTTTAGATCCTGGGCTTTAATACTACTATATGGTTTTTTTTTCAATTGCAATGTTAAAATCTCTTTATTATACATCTTTTCATCTCAACATTTAAAACTAAAGTGACGATCTGCACTTTAGCAGCTAGTTGAAATCACTTGCATTTTGACCGTTTGATTTTTCCTTAACAGTTCCCATAGCGTAGCCTACGTCTTGCTTCTCTGCGTTCCTTGAATAGCCTTTGCCGGCTCCGAGTGGAGGTGGAAACATGGCTGACTATTGAGCTTAAGCAGCCTCCTACAGTACATTACGGTGAAGTATCATCTAACCACGTCCCATGAGACCTACATGGTTCTGCCTAAGCACTTATTATCATCAGTGCCGCACGGAGATCAAAATAGATGCAGTACTGACTTTGTAAAACTGCAGCCTCTTGTATCGCCTTGAAATCCTGTGAACTTATCTGTGCAGACCTCTAGATCTCTTTGAGGATCTTGATTAGTTGTGTCCTGATTTAATGGCGGCTGGAAAAGCGTTGGATGGCAGTGGAGTCTTTGAGGATGAAGCAGAAGATCCTCCATGGGGAAACTGTGGAGAGGTGTTAAAAGTGACTGACAGATGATGATTGAGCCCAAGTCAAGGACGGCACAGGCGATAAAACGCTGTATCGTTTCATCGGTGATGTATGTACGGATGAGTCCAGGTGGAGAAGGCCTAGTTTCGATCATAGAGAGACTTTGATACACAACATCAAACAAGATGAGGTATGTTTGTGTTGTTACATCAGTTTGTTAAAAAAACAAAAAAACATGATGACTAAGTTGCCTTTTTCTTTTAACAACAAGGAAAAAAACAAGGCTGCCAAATTGTGCCATGCAAATCAATTCAAATAATTGTTGTATGACCCTAAATCACAACAACAATTGTCTCGGAGGACTGGGACAGATCAGAGAATCAACAACAAACTCATAGGAGTGCAATAACCATGGTTCTTCAATGTTTTTAAATGCCCATTTTATCTGCTTATCCTGCCCTATAACTTTGCACTATACTGTATATATATATATATATATATATATATAGAGAGAGAGAGAGAGAGATATTTTGAAAGATTGATATTAATGCATTTACAGCTAGCTAAGAAACATGGCAGCTTATATTGTATATTCTGTGTGCTTTTACTAGTGTCCTGCATGTGCATTGTATTGTCAAAAACGTGTCTCAGAATTTGATCAGAAATAAGACCAAGCATTCAAGAGTTCAAAATCAATCAACATTATTTCTCTTTACAATTAAATATAATGCAAAACTCTCAGAGCTCTTATTTCCCTAACTAGCCCTATGAGCTGAGCCAATGTAACCATCCCTCCAGGCCTGAAAATGTACAGAGAGGACAACCAGGCTCTGTGATGTCCGCTCTCTCTGTCCCTGCTTAGACTGCTCAACAAATAACCTACCAAACACTTTTATTAAAATGTGTATAAAAGAGGGTGGAAGTGCTCCCCATACGTCATCTGGATCCTTTCCAGTCCCTTCAGTCTGGTCTGGTCTGGTTTTGGGTCTCATCCCTTGTCCCGATAAGGGAGGCATGCTCTGTTCCTAAACGGATACTTACAGTATATCACAGAAACCAACATTGTCCTCGAATCTTCCCTGAATTCACTAAACTCAGGCTAAACATTATACAAAAGTCTTTTTATGCAAACACCTAATGATTTATTTAAGAACACTTTAAAAAAAAATACTTGATGATTATTCATTTGTATAAAACATTTTATGGAGACATTTCTGAAATCTACAACAGTTGCAACATTGAAATGTACCCTCTGTGGGAAGAATAAAGTATTTTCTTATACTAAATGTCCCGCATCATCACTGTCCTTAGATCCTGTTACATCGGCAAGGAAAAAACAGCGGGAAAAAAGTGAAAAATATCAGGGAGGCCCACATTGAGAGAGAGATCGGAGCCCTATAGATCCCCAGGGACTCAGACTGTAGAAGGAGGACTACAGCATTAGTGGCTTACCCTCTCACGTCACAGTATGAAGATTCCATGTTTCTCTCCATGTCTGAGCACTCTACTTCCCAGCACAAAACATTCACTGAATAAGACACCAATCATCCATCATGTTCCATAATGCTCGATGAGAAACTGTCTCTGGCTTCTTAGTATTAGGTTGCTGTGATCGACTGATTCATTTTTTTTTCTCTGCTCTAAAAGTACTCTTCATATGGCCTTCTCATTATAGCCACTATTAGCTCTCGGGTGATGTCATGGGTCCAACTCTCGCAGAGGCATAAGTCAGATGTCGTGGCAGCTTCTTCATGTCTTTTTTTATGAATATGGAATGAACGAGGTTAGACTTAGCATAATCTATTCATGACAGCTTGTTGGAATCACGGGGTTTACATCTGCAGAGAAGACTACAGTAGCAGAGGTCGACACATGCAATATATTCATGCTTTGAGACGGTCTTTCATGGTCAACAGAGAAACGCCACCATGTCGTTTTCTCAAATGCAACTATAGCCTCTCTTCGAACACTTTATGAGAGCTGCAAAATAGATATACATTGAGTCTTCAAGCTGTCTGCATTCTGTCCTTGACTTTGTATGAAAGCAGCTTTGTATAGGGTTAAGGCTCAATGCTTTTTGCTTGTCTACACACTTTTTGTCTTGAGTGTTATGCTATAATAATAAATGTCATTGGCTATGAACTGATTTCCCACTGAAGTAAACATTGCTCTTTTGCTCCCTCAGATATGGCATGTCTAAAAGGCCAAACGCTCCAGTATTCCAGACCTCATCTTCAACCTTTCCAAAAACAACATGCAAATTGAAATTCTTGGATTCTCCGTGTCCTGGACTTGTGTCTGTGTTGTGTTGTTGAGCGTGTGTCTTTCTCTCCCCCTGCAGGCCGTTCGTGACGCTGCCTCCGCTGATGGAGTGGGTGCGTGTGGCTGCGGTCCACACTGAGCACCGACGCAGCTTCTCCGTGGACAGTGATGATGTGCGGCAGGCGGCCCGGCTCCTGCTGCCCGGAGTGGACTGTGAGCCGCGGCAGCTCAGGTACGACCGCCGCAGACTCGATTCCAGTCAAGAATATGTGATGCAATTAATCCTATAACTGAAATCAGCTCGGCAACACGACCTTGGAGTCTTTCTCAACTATTTTTAAAGCACTTCACATAACATTAGCTTTAGACAATTGTAAGTTTGGTTTGGGCTGAGACTGAAATGAATTTGGCTGTCAATGTTATTCTGCACCAGTGACCACCAGTGTTACTTTTGTCATAATTTTGCCTAATAATAAGCCTAATGCCTAATAAGGATAATAAACTCAGTGATTAACCGTACACTTTTAGTCATGGCACACTTTTTTAATTGTAATTATAATAATGCATTGGTTTTATGTACTGCTTTTTGGACACTCAAAATGCATTATTTATTCATTCCATACACTGTAGCCAGAGCTGCCCTGGGACACTGATAGAAGCAAGGAAACTCGTATGTGTCAACAGCCCCTCCGACCGCCACAAACCATTCACACACACACCAGATTCAGACTCAGAAAAGTGGTTGAGGTGTCTTGCCTATGGAAACAACAACAGTTTGGCACTTTACAGCCGTAGCCGCCCTACTGTTGCACCTGGTGTTCTCAGAGGTCTCCCATCACAGTACTAACCAGGCCCTGTACTGCGTATCTCCAGAGGTCTTACGAGATTTGGCTTTCACATGCAATTGCTGCCACGCTTGGATGAAACAATTATTCCACTGAAATTACCATATTACACTTTTTGGAAAATAATAACTACAATTAAACTGCTTAATTGCCTGATAATTCCTTTTCTCTCAGACTGTTAGACAGAACTCCAAAGTATATCATTATGAAATTAACAGCATATATGAATCATATCACGATCATGAATCATCTTTTTCTAAGGCAAACCTGGCAACGCCTCAAGGCACACAAATGTTCCCTGGCATAAGATGGATTAATATCTGAGGCTTAATCGCTAAAAGATGAAGACTTATACTTTTGTCAGTCGATAGAGCAGAAATGTCAAGGTTATTCTACTCACAATCATCACATGAGAATAGTGAAAACAGAAAGATATGACAAATAAATGAGTCACTTTACTTTTCTTTGTGGTTCGGATCATTTGGTTATGATCAGTCACACGCTGTCATGCATTAGACAAAGGTACTTAAAGGTTTATAGGGGGATTTTCTACTTCTGAGTGGATCATCAAGACTATTGGTTTGCGTAATTGTCAACCATTCTGGTGATACGAGCTCGTCAAATAAAACCAGAGAGTTTTAGTTCAAAGAGTGGAGAGGACGGTTCTTTCCAAAAAAATTGCTAAAACATCCTCCTATATGCAGTACCAAGGCATTACGACATCACTGTTGTTTCATGGAGTACTGTCATCTCACTTGTGCATTTGTGTTGGATATGGAAAAGTAATCTCCTAATGCTTCAGACCGGTCCTGTTTTCCTGCACGTGCTCAGAAATGGTATTGGTCTCGTGTTGGTGTGTGTAACGCGCGACGCTGGAGACGAGCCTTGACCGCAGCGTGGATCACTTTGCATTCTTTGCCCTTCAGAACGGATGATTTCTTCTGCGCCTCAAGGAAACTGGATGCAGCGTCAACTGAAGCCAAGTTCCTGCAGGACCTGGGTTTCCGGATGCTGAACTGCGGACGCACTGATTTGGTAAAGCAAGCCGTGAACCTGCTGGGCCCCGATGGCATCAACAGCACCAACGAGCAGGTAATACTGACACTGATACAAACCAAGGCTTAATATAATCACAGTTAGGGATACGGTTGGTCATCAATATTTGCCAAATCAATGATATCTATATTATATTACAAACAATATTCTTACCATAGTTCTATTCTGTTATTTACCGTTGCATTAGAGCTCTAGTGTGTCGTCTCTCTACTTGTGTTTTGTTGAGTCCTGTACTTTATTTTATTTACTGAACATTTTCATCTGGTCTTTAACTGTGCAATAACATCACACAACCATAAACTGTAAATAATAAAGAGATTGGATGCTGAGTGAGGAGGCTATCGTAGTTATTCTTCTATTCTTCCTTTTTGAGCCGAAATACTGTATATATGTTATCCTCCCTGTACCTCTTTGTTTTGTTTTGTCCTTCATATGTTGCCCATGTGTGGGTACAGTGATTTCTGTATCGTGCAGAATGTTATCGTTTTGTTTTGTTTGGCTCAAAATAATGTATTCGATCAATACAGTAGATGAAGCACAGAGAGGACAGCGGCTACTCGACTAATTTGCATTGACCCTCGTGCACGTGGTGAGCTGGCTGTGGTCACTGGTTTTACTATACTTTACTATCTATGGAGGAAATGTCATATCGGTTTTGTACATTGACCAAGATTGATGCCAACTAAAGCAAACGTTTTGTAAATGTTGTCTATTTATGTTATTTTCTGATGTGTAAAGTGATGATTGTGATAATAATATACACCATGGGTCTCCAACCTGTTGCTTGGGAGCTACCAGTAGCTCACCAGGCCCTTCCAGGTAGCTCGCCAAAGGATTTAGAATTTAACAAATTATCTTGAATGAATACATTTTGAGTCATTACATGTCTATTACATGTATGAATATAGGGTTATACAGTATTATGGTACATTTTACATCTGTTTTCCATGTTTTGTCATAATTATTACGTAGATTTGTATTATGACTGCAAAAGGGAGTAGCTCTCTGCCTGTTCTGTTGTATGAAAATAGCTCTCCGATTGGAAAAGGTTGGAGAACCCGGATATACACCGTAATATATAAACTAAAAAATATTGAGCTGGGTTTACCGTACTCCATTTTTATCGGGCTCACTACCCGATTCCTTCTCTATAACAATTTAATCTGCCACGATGCAATGCGATTACTTATTCTATTTCTTTCATCAAACACACAACCATTTTTAATTGCCCCTAAATTATTTTCAATAATAATAAGAAATAACCACAAAAGAAAACGACCATTGTTTTTTATTCTAAAGTTTTAACCCAACTCCCAACTCACCAAGTAGTTTTTTGAAAAGCCAAGTTTCAGCCCTTCTTTGGCAAATTCTTTCAAATTCACCTCCAATAACAAAAACATGTTGAAAATTGTAGATAAAGGCAAACAACTTTTTGACAAACGGAGACATCTGTTTTTGCCAATGAGCTCTTAATTTGTTGGTGTTTTGTCACTTCATCATTATTATTTGTCACTTAATCATTATTTTACCTTTTCACAACAATAGTCAGAGAGACCATGAATCTCACAGTTGTTTCGTCAACAGTCAATAATCATTAGTAAGAAATAAAATCCTCTCTCTTCTCACAATAAACATGACAGACACATTTGCTTTTGTCACATCCTTTCCCGGCAAATACCATATACAGTTTAGAGTATATATAGATACAAATTGCCTGGAGCTCATATATAATGCGCTCCTAATGAGTCCTTGGATTCAACTGTGCAGGAAATCGAGTCCATAAACAGTCTATCCTAAAGTGGAGAGCAGCCCCCAAAAAACCTCCACGATGCTGCAGTCTCCTTATCACCGCCCGAAAAGCTTCTTCTGCAGTTTCCCTTTGCAGCAGAATTGTCAAGTAGTTGTGCGTCATTTCACTCTGCGTCGAATATGAAAACGCTGAGGATTCCTACTGCAATCTGATCTTTCACAGAGTAGAGGAATGTTAAGTCTGGCTGATGCCACAGGGAGGTATTGATTTGTCTCTGTAAAGCAGGCGTGTCCAAACTATGGCCCGAGGGTCAATTGCTGAGCTCTTTTTCTAGTTATGTGGTCCCCTGCCTGGCTAACAACAGCAGTTATTGCCATCAACATGTAACTCGGCAGGTCAGAACTCAAGATGTAGTTGTATTTTGTGTCTAGATCCTCAGCTGTCTGTGGTATCAAGGCAAACTAACAATAGATATATTATAAAACAACAATGAACTGGCAGAATCCTGTCAAAACAGTTTTACAATACAAGGTTTGGACACCCCTGCTTTCGTTAATCTCTCATTTTGCAGAGATTTTGGCTTTCTATTGGATTGTTGTAACTAACTTTTAAACCACAAAAAATGTAACAACTTTAAAAGTAAGTAATCTTTATTCATATACCTCCTTTCACAAACCAGAGTCACAAAGCAGTTTACAATTGTTATTTTTGGGCATTTGTCTCCCACTCCACACGGAGCAAGGTCGCCAGTACAGGAGGAGCATGCCAGACCTACGTGTTTTTAGTGGTAGGGAAAACCGGAGCACCTGGAGGAAACCTACGCAGACACGGGGAGAGCATGCAAACTCCACTCATAAAGGCCCTGTTCCGACCGAGATTCGAATCCAGGGCCTTCTTGCTGAGAAGCGAGAGTGCGAGCCACTCAGCCACCGTACCGCCATCTTACTACTGTAACTAGTCTCTCGCTCTCTGAACAGTGTGGTTCTATCACTAGTTTTCACACACCTGTATTTTTGGCCCCTGCCACATTTTAGACCAGCTTTTTTAGACTGAAAAGTAAAAAAATGAAGAAAAAATGTTCAAAAAAACTAAATTATTATCTGTGATTTTTTTTTCTTCAGTGCCCCAGCTTTAATTAAGAGCACACTGGCATAACTGTATTCATATTAATGGTCTCCAAAAACATACTTTCAGGACAAGTTTGTGCAGATTTGGACACAGAAGCAAACGCGACAGGATCTGAGCATCATTGTTTGGTGCTTTCACATCATCACCAAATAATAAGAAGCCCTGAGCAAAACTAAGTGAGAAGAGAAAACGAAAAGCATGAATTATGAAATATGTATGATTTTTTTAAATTATTTGTATCCATGCTCTACGATGAACTGAACCAAACAAAAACTTCCAAGCACTGCTGCGTTTTCCGGTTCTTTTTCTGTGTGCAGCCGCGTGTAGCACTGCTTCTAATTTTGTCCAATCTAACTAGGTCAGTTTAATTTTTTACTGAGTCATGTATAAAAATAAAAGGTTGATTAACATTGTTTTTTTCCCATAATACATACGGCAAGACACATTTTATTTAATTTTCTTAGATCTTTTCCCCCCTATTTTCTTCAAAAAAAAGTAAAATAAAATAAAACAAAAGCAAGCAAAATTAAAAAAAAAATATATAGATAAATATGTATTTTTGATGTGTTGAAATTCACTTGAGAATTAACTGTGTGTTGATATAGGGGGAAGACATTATACTTTATTATGTACTTGCATTTGTTTTTAAATGAATGGAATAGATGATAAAACTCAATAAAAAGTCTTGAGAAAAATGTTTTGAGAAAAGCGTTTGTGGGAAGCCAGGTCGCTCTGTTCTTCTGTCTTCCTCAGTCTCAAAAGAGTTAATCTGACTTTAAATAACTATTGCAAAGTCGAAAAATGTAACACTATTGACTTTGGAGCGTTGCTGTGCTTCCGGTCTTGTTCATCACTCCAAAAGCTCTGTTTTTTTTTTGGGCTGGTGCATTGACAGTTCTCACGTCTCTGGCTGCGCAGGGCATGACTCCGCTGATGTATGCGTGCGTCCGCGGGGATGAGGCCATGGTGCAGATGCTGCTGGACGCCGGGGCCGATATCAACAGCGAGGTTTGTGCCGTAGACTTTGTACTTTGTGTAATGGTATTTTGTGTTGTGTTGTGTTTAGATGCAAGACATAACTGTGTGGATTGATTTGAAAAAAAGTCTTGAATTCTGACTCGTACACATGCAGTAGTTACAGACAAACGTGGTAGGAGAGTGGATGAGGCGACTGGGGATAACCATATGGGAAGCAAAATCTAAATGTCAACACCCGGAAAAATACAGAGGGGGGGGAACAAAGAGAAACTCCATGAAAATCCTTTTATTTTCCTGTAGGGACAAATCCACGTCCACGTCAGCAGTTACAGCACAGGATAAATGAGGAGCACACAGCACAAGATAAATGAACACTAACTCTACACTAAATAAAAATATATAAAAAAATCTCGAACTCTAGAATGAAGAAGAAACAAGTATAAAATCTCTACCTTTGGCATAATTAGAGGCAAGTAAAAAGTACAGTGTTGAAAGGCATCGTCATGTCCCCATAGGAATAAAAGATTACAAATACAAACTTTAATCTCTCACGTTTGTTAAAGGTACTCTGTGTAATTTTTACAGTTGCTGCAATTGAAAAAAACATGTGAACCAATAACAAACGGGACCTTTTTAAGAATTTTCACCTCCACCATGTTTTTGAAGTGTCGTCATAGGCTGAGAATTTGACTTATAAACGTCCGTGAGAGCTGGAGGACTCAACATGTCACTGCGCTATCTTTAAATATGGTGGCTGAAAAGGGACAAAAAAAGAGTTTGACCGGGAGTTGGGGACCACTGTCAAAGACCTCACATTGTCCTGTGAAGCTACTGTCTTCCCGTAAATTACAATATATGATGTCAACGCTACAGTATATGGGAGTAAAAACTACACAGTGTACCTTTAAATATTCACTGATTTACCGAATAAACTCGTTCCTTTTGTGATTTTAAAAATACAGGTGAAACTTTTATAATTCTTAAAACAACATACAAATATATTACACACACTCATTACCAGGGCTGGTGCTACTGTATGTGAACTGGGGGCATGGTTAGGGTTGACTGTCTCTGACTGCCTGCCCCCGACCCAGAAATGGATTAAAGGGAAGAAAATGGAAGGATGGACACTCATTACCTGCAAAGTGACAAAAGAGACCAAGCCTTTCTTTTTTGTATTTCTGATGATTAAGGCTTGCAGTCCATTTTCAAAAAAGTCAACATTGACAATTTATTTGCCATTTGCAGTAAAACCACATTGAAAGGTAGTTATCAACATTATAAAAAATACAGATTTGATTTATCTCCCTTTGCCTGAAATGAGTCTGGTTTTCATTAGTTCCATATTATTAGTTGAAATACAGAAGTAAATAGACTTTTACGATAATACATGTTTTCGAGTTTCAGCTGCAAATGTTGGTTCGTCTTTAATCAACGTGAATTCAAGGCCTTTTAAGCATGATTGGATATTAATGTTGATGTTCTATGCCAGGGGTATTCAACTCGGTTCTCAAAGTGGCTGCAGGTTTTCATACCAACCAAGCAGGAGCACACCAGACTCCACCCATTTCCTCAAGTCTCCAGGTTAAGACTGGACTCACTAATGGGTGAATGAGTCTGGTCTGCTCCTGCTTGGTTGGAACGATAATGCATCATACTTATACAGAGCTTTTTATTGGACACTCAAAGACGCTTTACAAAATAACAAGATAGGAATGAAAACCTGCAGCCACCTTCAGACCGAGTTGAATATTCCCGTTCCACGCAACGCATATTTTGTAGTTAAAATACAAGAACATCAGGATATCAGTCATCTGCATTAATTTCACTGTCAAAATAAGGATCATGAGACCTGATGTACTGCCCATATTCTTGGCTTTTAAGCGATTGTCAAATGGTGAAGGGAAACTGCTAGGCTCCGCCCACCCTCACTCCTGCAGCCTCCTGATTGGTCAAAATAACTGATAACTCTTGAGTCTATTGGTTTAACTTTGGATGCCGCCAAAATAATGGTGCCGTCACAGGAGCGCTGGTGTGTACTATATCTGATGCACACTGGGGTAGTCTTGCACAGTTTTTCCAATATGGTTTTACTGCAAATGGCAAATAAATTCTTAAATCTTGAACTATTCTCCTCCAGCAAATCTTATGCCAACTGGAGGGACTATTTTGAATATTTTTTTGTTGAAAAATACTTAATATTTTTCTTAATAATACATTAATACAGTGTCCCATGGTCAGAAATATACAGACTTTTTAAAATAGAATACAGTTTTAAGTGCTGACATTACCTGTACGGTAGATTTAACATTGATATAGTTGTGTAAACTTACTATTTGACATATAAGGTCATTCTGTGTGAAGTTCCCATGATCCTTAACTTCATGATTCACTCCAACAACATCAAGTCTCATCACTGTGTCACTCGTCATCAAATCCTCAGGCCAAAACACCAACCAGCCGTCTTAATTATACCGTAGTCCTTGTATGTGCCCACACGAGAGTCAAAAGCCAGTAGAGGAAGTATATCAAATTTAAGTAAGTAAGTAGGTAAATTAGTAAGTATCTCTCAAATGCATCGATAGTAGCCAAGAAGAGTTTTTCTCAACTTGCTGTGGTACTATTTTAGCAGCAATATCTCAAAAGTTTTTCATTGAAACAGCTGCTTTGTAGAATAATGGATAACTACATATTATTTTAAACAATGTACTTAATGTAGGGTTATTTTTGCACATCTTGAAAATAAAAATAGAAGGTGTATGTCGTCCTAAAGTTCAGTTCAATAACAACATCAGCGGTCGTCTCGGAGGACTATGCAAAGTTGTTGATTCACCAGCAACAGATAAGAGAATCAAACACATAGGCCATTGGTCCATAGCTGTAGTACCTAACTTTCAAAACACGGAACTATTATCCATCTTATGCCTTTCTCTCAAAACAAATGATGGCCTCTGTCGCATATTTAGATTTAGCTTTTTCACACAGAAAAGTGAAAAATAGAAGCCCACCCTGACCTCACCCAGCCAATCAACTCTTAGCCCAAAGCATTACGCAATAATTATTAAGAAATGACTGGTTCTTTCAAGTTTACAACAGATACATTGTTTAAGACAATATTGTGTGGCCTGATTTGTTAAGAAGAAATCCAAATTATGAATATATTATTTATGAAAAAAGTTTGGTACCTCTCCTTTAATAAAAACCATGAACCAGTCGCCCACATAGACCTGAGCTGGGGTCAGTGTCGCCTCAGTGCAGGACTAGTAGATCAGAGCAGTGCATTCTGGATGAGGCCGAACTCGACTCATCAATCCGTTGTGTTCATTAGGAGCAGGAGAGTGACAGGGCGTCCTCTGCAGCCCCAGGGTTCCCACTTAATTACTCCCCTGTAGAAAGTCCTGGTCCACCTCGTCTCCTCACGGCAGCTTGTGTGTTGTAGTTTTAACGGCTTCATGTCTCTTCCTCCCACCTCTTCCACCTCTCCCACCTCTCTCACCCCCCCTCCCCTCTCTCCCCCTTCTCCCCCTGTCCCTTGTGTCCACTCCCCAGGTGCCAAACTCAGTGCACAAGCATCCCTCAGTGTTCCCTGAAACGCGGCAGGCCACGCCCCTCACATTTGCTGTCTTACACGGACATGTGCCTGTGGTGCAGGTAGTGGAGTCTTCTTCATCTGTGGTTGTTTGATTGTTCCTCATCTTCATCTTCATCATCATCGTCATTATTCATGTTCAACTGTACTTTTCTCCCAAACCAGAGGTGGCAAAATGTGTTGTATGCACTTCAGTCAAATTCAATTCAATATATTTTTGTATAGCTTCTGCAGTAGTCATCTCGGGGCACTTTACAAAGTTGTTGATTCGCCAACACAGATCAGAGAACAGTTCGAGCACAGAAAATATAATAATAACAAATATAGAGAAGCCATTGGTCCGTAGGGAGATGACCATTGTCCATTAATGTTAATACTGTAAATGTCCATAAATTGTTCTTAAATATCATGCATCACCAGGACATTTAAGGACATTTAAGTCAACTAAAAAGTAAAGGTACTGAAATTGAAATTATTACTATTATTAATTAAGTAAAAGTATAAAAGTACGATCTAATTGTAGATGAGTAAAAAGCTGTTTTATTCAAGAATAACTGTCGCCTATGAAACACTCACACACACTTACACTGTTGGAGACGTCATATTCACTGACAGAGAATATGACAAAATATCTACAATTGAAGGCTGCTGAAGTTAATTTAGAAGTTTGGCTATTCATCATTAATGCATTAACTTAGTAGCATGGTTAACCACTTCAGACCTGTTATTATGAAACTTTGAAGACAAGCACTCCTGCAGCCCCCTGATTGGTCAAAAAAAAATTAAAATCCTTTAGACCCATCATCAATTGGTGTAATTTGCCTCCAGAAAATCTTACTGGGTGAAGTCATGCCAAGACAGAGCATATGAAAAAAACATGGCCTATGGGACTGAAGTTTGAAGGACGATTATTGAACACATTATAAGGATGGCTAACCACAATTATTGAATTAACTTTGAATCATGGTTAGCCACTTTAAACCTGTTATGCCACGTTATCCTCTGTAAAGTTAGTCATTTTAAAAAACAAGTACTTTTGGGTTTAAACGTAGGCAGTAAAAGTAGAAGAAAAAGTTGTCCGAATAACACATAGTGAAATACTGATTGCAGAAAAACTTATATGTAAAAATACTTTGCCACCTCTGCTCCTAACTACATACATTGGGGCTTGTATCATTTCCTGCAAAGCTATTGTGGGAAATGAACTATTCTTGTGTGAACTTTTATCCGAACAGATCAAAGCCCATTTTAGAAAGTGGGCAGTGGGAAAGAGTCTAATTGTTATTGAACTCGTTTGCTAAATGAGTTTGCCCTTTGAGTGATCTGTTCATTGAATTTGGAATCATTATGTTCTAAATGGAAATAGCTTTGCACCTCAATTTGATACGGACACGTTTAGCCGTTGTACTTGTCTAGTTCCATTCAGACGTGGTGTTAAGTCAGAGATGGCAGTTGGATATGACACTAAGCTCTAAATGTATATATGAAAGGTACATTTTGTTCTTAAATCATTCAGATGCAGAAGTTTATACAAAATGATGTTATTTGAACGGATGTATCTGTGAGTTTAAGTACATGTATAGTATAAGTATATGTACAGTAGTCATGGGAAAGTACTGTGATGTTGTTTAGGATTCAAAAACTGCATATTTTGTAAGTATTTAATTGGAATTTATATTGTGTTGAAAATGCACATCTCACAAGACTCTTCATCCCCTTCTTGTGTGTGTGTGTGTGCTTTTGTGTGTGCGTGTTTGCTTGTGTGTGTCAATGTTTGTGTGTGTGTTTGTATGCATGTGTGTGTCCTGGTGTGTAGCTGCTGCTTGATGCCAAAGCCAACGTGGAGGGCTCCCTGCAGGACGGGATGGAGAACTACACTGAGACACCACTGCAGCTGGCAGCCGCTGCAGGTAAACTGACCCTCTGTAATCTCTCTGTAATTTCTCTCATCTGTAATCTCTCTGTAATCTCTCCCTTTTATCTCTCATCTGTAATCTCTCTGTAATCTCTCTGTAATCTCTTTCTTTAATCTCTCATCTGTAATCTCTCTGTAATCTCTCATCTGTTATCTCTCTCGCTCTCTCTCTTTAATCTCTCATCTTTAATGTCCCATATGCAATCTCTCTCTGTAATTCCTCATATGTAATCTCTCTCTCTGTTATATATCCATCTGTAATCCTCTCTGTATCATCTTTCTTTGTAATCTCTTTGTAGTCTCATCTGTAACATCCCTCTCATTTGTAATCCCTCCTCTGCAGTCTCTCATCTGTAATCTTGCTCTGTAATCCCTTATCTGTAATTTCTCATTTGTAATGTCTCATCTGTATTGTCTCCCTCTGTAATCTCTCTCAGTGCAATCTTTCCCTCTGTAATCTCCCGACTGTAATGTCTCCCTCTGTAATCTCCCATCTGTAATGTCTCCCTCTGTAATCTCCCATCTGTAATGTCTCCCTCTGTAATCTCTGTGTGGCAGAAATAATACTTGACTCATTACTCAGGGAACAATAATTTTTCTTTTGAGATGAAATTAAGACAAATAGGAACACACAAATGTGATGATGGAGCTTCTCTGCATGAGTTTATCTAATTTAATCTAATCTAATCTACTCCACGTTCATACTGTGTGTGTGTGTGTGTAATGGATCATGTGTCGCGCAGGTAACTTCGAGCTGGTGAGTCTGCTGTTGGAGCGGGGCGCGGACCCCATGGTGGGAACCATGTATCGTAATGGCATCTCCACCGCGCCGCAGGGAGACATGAACTCCTACAGTTTAGCCGCAGCACACGGCCACAGGTGAGTTTGAGACAAGATTAGATTAAAATAAGAGATACTTAACCTCTATTCGTCCGTCAGTGGGGAGATATCAATGACATAATACACACGGTGAAGTTCAATAGAATTTAATTATTCTTATTTTTTTAGTCTAGGCCTAAATCACAACAGAAGTTTTCTTGGAGGACTTTACAAACCTGTCAAATTGGCAAACACAGATCAGAGAAAAAAAACAGTACAAACACAGGAAATGTAATGATAAAAAAACACATAGAGCCATACGTTTGTAAGATAGAAAAAAAAAAGAGACAATAAATACATTAAAATCATTAAAAGCGAAGTTAAGGCACTGCAAAACAATTCTCAAGACCCACCAGAGCGCGTTCTTTGCTCTACCACCTCCTCCACTGAATCCAGACCCAGACCCACCACAGAGCCCCCCTTTCTAATGAGCCGGTTCAGCCTCATTAGAAAGGCGGGCTCTGTGGTGGGTCTTGGTATGGATTCAGTGGAGGAGGTGGTAGAGCAAACCAAAGGGGCAGATGTGCAAAGTCCATTGCTGTTGAAAAAGTCCATAAATGTCGTTGAATGTCGAGTGTCCTGGATCATCACCATTGTCCTCAGACCCTCCTGCATCGGCAAGAAAAAAACTCTAAAAACCCAGTTGGAGAAAATTAGAAACCTCTGGGACGCCCACATTGCCACACAGCTGAATTGGAGGCCTTAAAAGAGAACCCATATTATTAAGATAAAAAATAATAAAATAATATGATATGGTAATTTACGTACTATAAGCCGCTACTTTTTTCTATGTGGCTTATAAAGTGATGCGGCTTATATGTCTATTTCTATTGTGATAAAGATGTCAGTATTTGTATGGAGTTTTACTAGCTATAGGACACTTGTTTATTGTCAAAACAGAAGCTAACAGTTAAGCAGTTAAAACACATTTTTGATGAAACTATGTGGTGACCAGTTAAAACCCTAGTCCATGTGCGACATTACAACATTTTTAGGTGGGGCTTATAGTCCAGAAAGGGCGGTAATAAACTCTGGAGATATAATTGCAATTCGGGCGTTCTGCTCTCCCAAAATTCCATCCGATGGGCGGGGGAGCGACTGAATTTTGCGTTGCATTATGGGTAACACTTGCCTTCGCAACTTCCGGTTCTCTCTGCCCGGCGCATTTTCTCTAAATGGTTGAGTGTTTTCGTCATTTTCTGTATGCAAATACATTCCCGTCTCTAACTAGTGGCATATCGCGCAAATCATCCGTCCTATTCACATTCTTCCCTCTTAGCTGAACTTCATTCTCATTGTTACCATCTGTCACTCGCACACACAGCCGTTTTCGTTCACTCTGCTCGCTGTCATCTTCTTCTAAATCTTCATAAACACCATCCGCTCGTTGAACTAGCAACAACAATTCCTCCTTTCGTTTTCCCACACTGCAAATACCCTTTCGCTTCAACCTTTCACGCAATTCAGGCACTGTCAATCGCTTGTTGTTTTCGTGAGCCATATTCGCCATTGTATGAAATCAACCGGAAGTGAACTGGGCAACAAACGGTGTCATTTTTTGATCACAGCGCCGCTCAGTGGATGGAATTTTGGGAGAGCAGAACGCCCGAATTGGGTCAAGGATAATGACACATGTGGAGTACTCACTGTAGTCATCAGTAGTCACTAGGTTGTTGTACTGTAGCAGCAGAGAATATGACCAGATAAACAACAGTAACAAGTGGATAACTACAAGGACTTTACTGCATCGTTAGCATCCATCGTGTTTATCCGCTAACAGATTCTTCAGCGCGTCGATAAAATTGACAGTACGGCTGCTAAATCTCTCCGTGCCATTAGATGTTTAGTACGCCGTGGCCAAACAACTTTTTCATTAGGGGACTTTCCTCTGTGGATGTATTGATTTCAACCGTTTCAGCGAGTTAGCATTTTTCGAAGAGTAAAATTCATCCTTGAAATATGTAAATGTGTTTAGTGCGTTTTACCGAATCAGCCAATTAGAAATAAACAAGACATTATAGAGAATGCAGAAGCCAATTGTTCGTTTCCCACCATAGATTTCCCACAAAGCCACAGTAGTATGAGTAGAATATTTGAAAGTCCCCTCACAAACAACAATAACTCAATGACTCTGTGTTATGAGCCCCCCAGAGAAAATGAATCACATTTACCGCCAAAACAAACCCGGCGATGGCCCACATGGGGCACTGCACAATTGCTTATTTCTCCCTCCGTCTAATACAGCATAAATTCCCTGTGTTTTGAACAGATACGTCTTGGTTTAGACTTTTAACCTGATTGTGTTCTTTATAGAAATATCTTCCGGAAGTTGCTGTCCCACACAGAGAAGGAGAAAGCGGACATTGTGTCGCTGGAAGAAATTCTCGCAGAAGGCTCGGATCTGGAGGGAAGGAGTCCGTCTCAGATTGATCTCATCAGAAGTGGAAAAGCCAGACTCAAGGCCTTGAAAGAAGCCATGTACCACAGTTCAGAACACAGTCACGTAGACATCACCATCGACATACGGAGCATGGGTAAGTCTCTCTTTCTCTCTCTCGCTGTGCTCTCTGTCCCCATCACTAAATACAGGGATGGTCATGAGCGGTGTTTTCCGTGATCCCAGGAGTCCCGTGGACATTGCACACTTGGCTGGAGTCTCTGCGCACGTGTTTCCTCCAGCACCGCCGACCGCTGATCCAGGGCCTTCTGAAGGAGTTTAGCTGCATCGAGGAGGAGGAGTACACAGAGGAGCTCATTACACACGGCCTGCCGCTCATGTTCCAAATCCTCAGAGCCAGCAAGGTACTGCACCACATCCAACATCTAAAATCATCACCTGTACGTCTCTGCGCAATGTGACCTCAGGCTTTTTCCATCAACATGGACGGAGCTCTGTCAGTCTCACTCAAGCACACGCCACTGGAGGGCTGCTCAATACCGATATTCTGAAAGCATTGCAATTCATAGCCCCGTTTCCACCAACCCTACTTAGCCCTACTCTACTCCTCTCTACTCTACTCGGCCCTGATTGGGAGCTTTTCCACCAGCCCTGTTTATCTTTTTTAGTACCTGCTTGACCCAGCTTCTAACCAGACCGAGCTGGCACTGAAGTGTTCTGACAATGATTGGTCAGAGCACTGCTGGAACCCATAGAATGAGTCTTGTGGAGTATGTTGGTGGTTGTCAGAGGGGCTGATGGCACATACTGGTTGCCACCGTGTATGGAGAGAAAGAATACCACCATGTTTTTATTATAATGATTACAATTGAATTTCCATGGATAATGGTTTGTTGTGAGTAGGTTGCTAGGATACGGTACCGGATACTAAAGCGTAATGTAAACGCAACCAGGTAGAGCAGAGCCGAGTAGAGTAGGGTCAAGTAAAGGGGGCTCCTGGTTAGGTTTCCATTACGCTTCAATATCTGGTACAATGCATTATTACTGTATCTTAGCAAGCTACCCACAACAAACCATTATCCAAGAAAATTCTGTGGTAACCATGGCTTTCAGCAGCACTCTGGCCAATCTCTGTAAGTAAGAACACTTTACCTGTTACCGGTTAAACAGGGCCGGTAGAAACGCTTCCAATCAAGGTAGAGTAGAGCCAAGTCTAGTATGGCTAAGAGGGCTGGTGGAAACAGGGCTATAGATAACCTCTGGCTTCTGTTGGGCGATTAGCTAATTTCGAGACCCTCACTGTGACACATGTATCAAATATTAAACAGATCATCGATGTGTCTTGACACTTGCTTTCTTTGTGGTTCCTCCTTTATTATTCCGTTGACGTTTGCTATGTGCCTATGTGACAGAAATAGAATAGAATCTGTTTCAAATGCACTACACATGTTTGGGAATGCACATGGCGTTGGCTTCTCATTCTCAAGTCTCTTTCGGAGTCCACTCTTACAGTACACTCCCTTCGCCTTCAGTGGGTCCAGCTCTTGTCAGTTCTTGTCTGTGTCTCGACTGATGTATGGTGGGGCCACTGACCCTCATCTCTCTGAAGGGTCCGGGGAGGCACTGGTACTGTTTGTCTCGCCTTGAGGACATCAAAGAAGGAACTGTTCATCTTACAGTGGACTCTGCTGACTAAACAGAAAACGACCATTCTTCTCTGCGGACCGGAGGCAGCGACTGTGGAGAAATGCAGAAAAACAGATTTGTTGTTATGAAATGGGTATTGAAGAGCTTGTTAATACATATTTGTTATGGTCACGCTTCAGCAGTGGCAGTGGCACCACTCTGTTCTCCTCTCATCTACAACCACACACACGCGCACACACACGCACAAACACACACGCACACACACAAAGACTGAAGTATTGAATAATGAACATGCTTCTGTGGTCATTTATTTTGGCTGAGCCTTTTGACAAGTACTTTTCTGTGTGATTTTCAGTGTTCTTTTTTGTGTTTGTTTTCCTTTTGACAGAATGAGGTAATCAGCCAGCAACTAGCTGCCATTTTCACTCAGTGTTACGGCCCCTACCCCATCCCCAAACTGGTCGAGATTAAAAGGAAGCCATCATCTCGCTTGGGTGAGGGCTTTTATTGTATTTTATTCATACATTTTACCTCAGTTTTGTTAAAAACACCTTTAGGGGACAATGAATGTTTAGACTGCCCCCTGGTGGTTGTTGTACACATCACACTGCAGTAAAACTTAAATTGCACATCACTGACGTGTCTGTCACAATCCTGCAGATCCTCACTTCCTGAACAACAAAGACATGTCCGACGTGACCTTTTTGGTGGAGGGAAAACCTTTCTATGCCCACAAAGTGCTGCTGTTTACGGCCTCCAACAGGTAATTTACTTCAAAGTTTCTGCCACTCCGGACATGTAGTGAAGAGAGGTCCCTTTTTGTATACAGTATTGTTTCAAGTTTTTTGTATAGCACAGTTCATACACAAGGAAACTCAAAGTGCTTAATACAAGATGGAAACAATTCAAGGCATTAAAATCCTAAATAATCACAGTATATTAAAGAGTAAAGATACAATGACTGACTCTGTAACCAGCTGGAGGCCAGTCCCTGTGCTCCTCAGAGTCCCAGCAGGAGGCCGGTCCCTGTGCTCCTCAGAGTCCCAGCAGGAGGCCGGTCCCTGTGCTCCTCAGAGTCCCAGCAGGAGGCCAGTCCCTGTGCTCCTCAGAGTCCCAGCAGGAGGCCAGTCCCTGTGCTCCTCAGAGTGCCAGCAGGAGGCCAGTCCCTGTGCTCCTCAGAGTCCCAGCAGGAGGCCAGTCCCTCTGCTTCCCAGAGTCCAAATTGGTTCATTTGGCACTAACATGTCTCGGATGTACTTTGGTGCGAGGCCATGGAGAGACTTGTTTACAAGCAGAGCTTTTTAAATCTCACATTTTACAGAACAAAAGTAAGAGGAAAAGAGTCAATCAGAAACATATTATTTTTGTGAACATCGTTGACGGCCTTCACCGTTCCAAAAAGATATTTTGACTCCTTGTTTTCAATGACAATTTTCAGTTCATAAACTCTCCGTGGGTGAAGGGATCGTTGCTCGTTCACAATTTTACAAAACGTCCTCACGGGCAGCGGCCGTGTTACTCTCATTTCATCCTCTTTGAGCCTTTTCTAAGACGTACCTTGAACACAATTCTTCTCTTTTTTCCCAAGGTTCAAGACTCTGTTGGCGAACAGGCCGTGTGGTGAAAACACCTGCATTGAAATCAGCAATGTGAAATACCTAATTTTTCAGGTAACCTTTCACAAACGTGCAATTCTTCATGGAGGTTTTTTTTCCAAATGAGCTCATAATCTGACATGCTTTTCTCACGTTCCAGATGGTGATGCAGTATCTGTACTACGGAGGCACTGAAGCGGTGCACATCAGGAATACTGACATCATGGAGGTACAGTCTCAGACATTTATCACACGCTCTATGTCGTTATGTGAGAGTCCAGACGTGGAGTTTATATAACGTTTTGGAGCGACTGTTTTGGAAGAAATAAAAATGTATTTCAAGGAACCATTTTCACATTTTCACAGCTTGATAAATAACACACAAAAAAAGAAAAAAGTAAACAGTGTGTTGCTATGGGAGTTCAAAACCAGCTTTTACTGGCATAGAATGTTGGTCGCGGAGTCAAAGACAAATTTAAAGAATAAAAGCAATATATTTGCTAGACACTTATCAAAGAGATAAAGAGACAAGAGTGATAAGTATCCAGCAGGTTGTGGAACATCATAATAATAATAATAATAATAATGCATCGGTTTTATATAGCGCTTTTCTGGACACTCAAAGACGCTTCACATGTGTCATTATTCATTCACTCCATACACGGTGGTGATAAACTACTACAGTAGCCACAGCTGCCCTGGGGCACACTGACAGAAGCGAGGCAACCAGTATGTGCCATCGGCCCCTCCGACCACCACCAACCATTCACACACACACCAGACTCATTCTAGGCAATGGGGGTGAAGTGTCTTGCCTAAGGACACAACGGCAGTTTGGCACTTTACAGCCGCAGCCGCCCCACTGTGGCTGGTGTTCCCAGAGGTTAAGTGTCTTGCCAAGGACACAACGACAGTAATCAGTGGGAGTCGATGGTGAAAGTCCTGAGCGGGGCTTGAACCCACGAACTTCTGGCTCAAAGGCCAACGCTCTACCAACTGAGCTACTGCCGCCCTAATCATGACAGGGGTATGACATTTGATGGACCCTCGTCTGAAGCAGCTTTAAAGACATTAGAGATCAGTGAAGAATGTTTTTTTCAGCTGCTGTCTGCTGCCAAGTTCTTCCAGTTGGAGGCATTACAACGACACTGTGAGATCATCTGCTCCAAGAACATTAACACGGAGACTTGTGTGGAGCTCTACAACCACACCAAGGTATAACTCAGATATCAGACATCAGCAAAATGTCTGTTTCTGAGAACAAAGAAGCAAGAGAAAGATTAAATGATCCACAAAAAAAGGGTTTATATCATAAGCCAAAAATACATGCATGTGAAAATAAATTATAGAACTACAGTGTAATGGATTTTATTACATAGGAGATTCCCCGTGTTAAGGTCAAGTTGGGTTTTGACCTGTTCATAAAGACTTCTATAACCTCTATAAAAATGTCCTTTGACTACACTGCAAAAAGTGATACAAAATCTGTAAAAAATTAAGATATATTTGACAAATTTGAGCACATTTTGAGTGCCTTAAAACACGATTTGCCAATGGGACAAGAAAAATTATCTTGTTTTCAAAATGTATGAGAAATGTCTCCCTTGGAATGAGAAAATTAAGCAACAGTTCTTGAAATAAGACTAAATGGCTTTGTCCCCTTGGCAAATCTTGTTTGAAGACAGTCAGAATGTGCTCAATTTGAGACAAAAAAACACACAAAAATCAAGCATTTAATACCTCATATATAATATTTTTTGCAGTGTAGTCTTAACAAGGATTGTGAAAGAGCCATATACTATAGAGAGGAATCTAAAGGATGTCCAAAATATTGCTTTTGTGTTTGATTTTCATTTTATGTTCACAGTTTAAAGAAAATATACCTTTTTCCCCTATTTGCACATCTCTCTATCCTGCCCTGCCGTTATTGGAACATTATCATCTGTAACTTGCCTTTTGGAGATCATTTTGTCTCGCTGTTGACCCAGAGCAGTTTGCTTTGACATCACGTTGTCTTTCTTGTGACAGTTCCTCGACGCTCCAGACCTGGCATCCTACATCGAAGGCTTTTTCTTGAAAAACATGGTGATTCTAATCGAGCTGGAGCCATTCAAGCAGCTCCTGTACGACTCGGCCCCCGACAGTCCCGGCTGCGAGATCCTGCACGACCTGGAGAAGACCCTCGCCACCCGGATCCAGTCCATCCACTTGTCCTCCTCCAAAGGGTCCGTCGTTTGAGCCACCGCCGGAAAAAACAACGTTACGATTTAGAACTACAGATTATATATTTTGACGTAAAAGAGACGTATAAAGAGAAAGAACTGTTTTGAAGCAATCGCCATCTGTGAAACTTTTCATTTACTAATATGCACAGAAAAGCCCTGTTTCCACTAGCCCTACTTAGCCCTACTCTCCTCGGCTTGGCTCGACTCTACCCCAATTGGCAGCGTTTCCACCGGGCCCTGCTTACGTGGGACCAGGTACTTTTTTGGTACCTGCTTGGCGCTGGTTCTAACCTGGCCAAGCTGGTACTAGAGTGTTTTAATTGCTGCTGAAAGCCACAGTTCCCAAGGAATTTCCCCTGAATACTGGTTTGTTGTGGATAAGTTGCCAGGATACAGTACCAGATTCTAAAAGTGTCATGAAAAAAACACAGTCAAGTCAAGTAGAGTAGAATTGAGCCAGTGATTGGTGCTGGAAGCCGTGGTTACCAAGGAATTTCTCACTGACGACTGGTTTGTCGTGGGTAGATTGCTAGGATACGGTACACAGTGGAAACACACACTGCAAAAAGTCATGAAAAATTAGTCAAAAATTGCTCAATCTTTGCAAAATATATCTTAATTTGAGCCCATTTCTTGTTTTAAAAAGATACAAGAAATGTCTCCCTTGGAATGAGAAAAATAAGTTTTAACAAAGTCAGAATGTTCTCAAACTAAGAACAAAAAAACCCACTTGATTCAAACAATTATTACCTCATTTTTTATCATTTTTTGCAGTGTAGGTAGAGCAGAGTAGAGCAGAGTAAGATAAAGTAGGGCTGGTGGAAACGGGGCTAAAGACACCATGATCCATCCCAGTTAAATACCATAATGACCACACACAAGTATAACAAACCGCTAACTCTTATCGGAAGAATCTTTGTAAAAAAATATATATATAAATGTTTATCGCAGATTATAGTCGAACTGGAAAGAAGACGCAAACACATAAATGTACTAAGCCATCGGTGTCTGTTTTCTAAGCTAAAAGTATTTGCTTGAAACCCATTTTGTAGATATATAGCCTATGTCAGTCTGTTAGCCTTTCTCTGTGAAGCCAAACATGAACATAGCTAACTTGTACATAAAAGAAAGAAAAGATTTTAATGAATTTTATCTGAACAAATGGAATGACAGATATTATTTTCTCTCCTCACTGCTGTGTAAATAGTGTTGATAAAGACAGAGTTATTGATAATGTAAGTTATTGTACATACACACACTCATACGTTTTCTCATGTGTCCTATTGTTATGGCTTTTGAATAGGAATGTTTTGGTGTTGCATGTCAAAAGGAAGCATTGTTTTTGGGTTTTTCAGGCCAGAAGTACTTATCAAAAGTTTATAGTTAGAGGGAAAAACCTGTGTCTTCATTCATCAGCATGAGGGCGGTCACTTCCTGTGCAGCAGCAGCAGCAGCTAATGGTCTCTTCATTATCATTGTGTTGATTCGAAGCCTGTTTAATTGTCGTGTTGAACGCACTATGCTTTGGGCGCCACACATGACTTGTATATGTGTGACTTTCCTCTATAAAGAACAACGTAAAAAAAACAAGCAACAAACCCTGTTCTATTTCATTAATGCACTGTGAATTACCCTTTTTTTCTTTCTTTTTGGGTTAAAGCTGTTTCCTATATACCACTTTGAAATGACTTCTCCAGTCCGTTTGATCTAAAGTTTCTCTTCTATTCTCAAAGGTTAGATCTCAGCTGGATGGAAGTTTGAAAGTGTGGCACTCGACTGCACCCAGGCCATGCAAAGAACCGTCTCAGGCTTGTTGTGTTTTTAATAGAGTGTGTGTTATATATTATGAATGCTCTGAAGTTGGAGGTATTGCAACGCAGCGGAGAACCACGGCGGTCAGAAATGGACGCACACAAACATACACTCACATACCCACACACACAAAATCAAAGAAAAGAGCAGCTCTACATGGGGTGACTCCTGTGAAGACCAAGTACAAAGCCAAGAGAACAACCCCCCTTTGTTGCCTCTGTCTTCTCCCCTGATTTTTGCACTCCAAAAAAAAATAAGCTGATCTTAAGCTATAGCAGCACGGGCATGATAACCGAGCTTCCGCAGTCACTTACAATATATGCATGTAATTGTTTCTAAAAAGGGGCTCATGATTACCTGGAGCAATTCCACATCGCTATGGAGACAAGCAGCAGAAGCATGATGTATCAGGGGAAATAAGGCAAAGAAAAGACAGATTTTAACCTAATAAATTATCAGTTTTTTTCCAACAGATAATGGGCTATGTTTTCATCTCCTTTGTCAATCAATTTCTAGGTTGGTGTGTTGGCAATCCGAGCTGCCACCCAGGTCTCAAAGCGCTCTTGCTGATGCTCCGACAACGCAACCTTGGTTTTTCAGCCTGTGGTTATAGCCTGTGGTGTCTTGCCCAGGGGCACAACGAGAGCAGACATCAGTTGGTCACTCTGCTGCCTATGGACCTAGGACCACTATGTGTTTGTTATCATTGTATTTCCTGTCTCTGATCTGTGTTGGTGAATCGACAAGTTTGTAAAGACCTCGGAAATGACTGCTGTTGCGAGATACAAAAATGAACTGAATTGAGTTGGTGAGAGTCAACAGAGTGGGTGGTAGTTGTGGGGGGATAGAACCCACGACTATCAGGCCTGAAAACCAATTATCTATATCAACTGCGCCATCGAGGTTGAGTTCCAGGTTTCCCACTATTTCATGCCCTTTGTGGACAGTGAAACACATACAGTAGAATAAAGTCATTTGCAATCATTGACAGAACTAAGTTTCGATGGAAAGCCATCCATCCATCCATCCATTTTCTTCCGCTTTATCCGTTGCCGGGTCGCGGGGGCAGCAGTCTAAGCAGAGACGCCCAGACTTCCCTATCCACACACACCTCCTCCAGCTCGTCCGGGGGGACCCCAAGGCGTTCCCAGGCCAGCTGAGAGACATAGTCTCTCCAGCGTGTCCTGGGTCTTCCCCGGGGCCTCCTCCCGGTGGGACGTGCCCGGAACACCTCCCCAGGAAGGCGTCCAGGAGGCATCCTGAACAGATGCCCGAGCCACCTCAACTGGTTCCTCTCGACGTGGAGAAGCAGCGGCTCTACTCCGAGCTCCTCCCGTGTGACTGAGCTCCTCACCCTATCTCTAAGGGAGCGCCCAGCCACTCTGCGGAGAAAGCTCATTTCGACCGCTTGTATCCGCGATCTCGTTCTTTCGGTCATTACCCAAAGCTCATGACCATAGGTGAGGGTGGGAACGAAGATTGACCGGTAAATCGAGAGCTTCGCCTTTCGGCTCAGCTCCCTCTTTACCACAACGGTCCGATACAGAGACCGCATCGCTGCGCACGCTGCACCGATCCGCCTGTCAATCTCACGCTCCATTCTTCCCTCACTCGTGAACAAGACCCCGAGATACTTGAACTCCTCCACTTGAGGAAGGACCTCTCCACCCACCTGGAGAGGGCAAGGCACCTTTTTCCGGTCGAGCACCATGGCCTCGGATTTGGAGGTGCTGATTCTCATCCCAGCCGCTTCGCACTCGGCTGCAAACCGTCCCAGTGCATGCTGCAGGTCCTGGTTCGTTGGAGCCAACAGGACGACATCATCCGCAAAAAGTAGAGATGAAATCTTGTGGTTCCCGAACCGGACCCCCTCCGGCCCCTGGCTGCGCCTAGAAATTCTGTCCATAAATACAGTGAACAGAACCGGTGACAAAGGGCAGCCTTGGCGGAGGCCAACATGCACCGGGAACAGGTCTGACTTACTGCCGGCAATGCGAACACAGCTCTGGCTCCGGTCATACAGGGACCAGACGGCCCTCAGCAGAGGACCCCGGACCCCGTACTCCCGGAGAACCCCCCAAAGGACACCCCGGGGAACACAGTCGAACGCCTTCTCCAAATCCACAAAGCACATGTGGACAGGTTGGGCGAACTCCCATGAACCCTCGAGTATCCGATGGAGAGTATAGAGCTGGTCCAGTGTTCCGCGACCGGGACGAAAACCACACTGCTCCTCCTGAATCCGAGATTCGACCATCGGACGTAGCCTCCTCTCCAGTACCTTGGAGTAGACCTTACCGGGGAGGCTGAGGAGTGTGATCCCACGATAATTGGAACACACCCTCCGGTCCCCCTTCTTGTAGAGAGGGACCACCACCCCGGTCTGCCACTCCATTGGCACCGCCCCCGATCGCCACGCGATGTTGCAGAGACGTGTCAGCCAAGACAGTCCTACAACATCCAGAGACTTTAGATAGTCAGGACGGATCTCATCCACTCCCGGCGCCTTGCCACCAAGGAGGCTGCCAACCACCTTGGTGACCTCAGCCAGGGAGATGGAAGTGTCCGCCCCAACATCCTCAGCCTCTGCCTCCTGAACGGAGGACGTGACGGGGGATTGAGGAGAACCTCGAAGTATTCCTTCCACCGCCCGACAATATCCTCAGTCGAGGTCAGCAGCCCTCCACCCGCACCATACACGGTGTTGGCAAAGAACTGCTTCCCCCTCCTGAGGCGCCGGACGGTTTGCCAGAACCTCTTCGAGGCCGACCGATAGTCATGCTCCATGGACTCTCCGAACTCCTCCCAGTCCCGGGTTTTTGCCTCTGCAACAGCCCGGGCCGCGGCACGTTTGGCCTGCCGGTACTGGACAGCTGCCTCAGGAGTCCCACGAACCATCATTGCTCGATAGGACTCCTTCTTCAGCCTGACGGCATCCCTTACTGCCGGTGTCCACCACCGGGTTCGGGGATTGCCGCCGGGACCAGCACCAGAGACCTTGCGACCACAGCTACGAGCTGCCGCATTGGCGATAGAGGAAGAGAACATGGTCCACTCGGACTCGATGTCCCCCTCCTCCGCCGGGACCTGGGAGAAACTCTCCCGGAGGTGTGAGTTGAAAGTCCGTCTGACAGGGGGCTCAGCGAGACGTTCCCAGCAAACCCTCACTATACGCTTGGGTCTGCCAGGTCTGACCGGCTT